CACACACACACACACAGAGCCTTTCTGCGGGACGATCAGTCGCAATCTGCGCTGCATGCACACTGCTGCTCCCCCCGTGCGCGCGCGCGTGTGTGTGTTTACAAGTGTTTGAACGAGTGCCACAAACGAGGGAAGAAAAAGGAGGATAAAGCCAAGGAAGGAGGGATGGTGGACAATTCAGGCAGTAGTAAGGCACAAATGGTGAGTCGTGGTCCCGTTTGGCGTCCCTCTTCGTGTCTGTAGCGAGCTAAAAGAGACGCAGTTCGACCGCTGCTGGTTTACGGAGCTAGAGGTAGCTTAACGTTGCAATTTCAGAAAGAACAAACACGAACAAACTTTCAGAGCTGATTTGACTTTTATGGTAGGTTACTTTTAATTTATTTTATCAACTCATGACAACACTGTACTGCTACATTTTTTTTGGGGGGGGGTGGGGGGGTATCACAACGTTATTGGGTTAAATGTGCCTGTTTGAACGGTAACTTATCCTAAAACCTATTGCGCTTAACCTTACGTTATCCACGTATTGTGAGGATGTGGCAGCTAACTTGGCTAACTGCGGAGAAGGTGTACATTTTTACACTTTGAGCAGCTTTTTCTTTTACTTGGGTTTTTTTTTTTTTTTAACCTCATTTTCATTCAACACTAAAGTTTCTCCTGCCGGCTCTTTTGGAAGCAGTGTATCTCTGTCTCAGGTGAACTAGTTTGAACACTAGTTAATGCTATATGAAGTCATGTTGCCATTTCACTGTCCTTACATTAACGCAGTATCATTCACCCCTTGCTTTGATAAAGGCGGCTAAACGTGTAATAGGATTAGTTATGAGAAATCGCTGTACTCCTACAGGAGCTCATAGTAATACTGAAATTTTCTTTTTCCTCTGCTGATATAAGCAGAGGGGTTTTCGTGGTTGGCTGCTGCAGTGCCTTATGTTTTAACGCTTAGCTGTGATATCTGTGTGCACTTCCTAAAACTTTAAACGTGTGCTTTAGGTTAGCTTTAGTGTTTTGTTTTTTTTAAATAAAAGGTTTGCAATGAGCCTTGTTACATAACTGTGGTTACTATGTTAGGGAAGTTTCCTGTTTCATTGTTTCTGCTTTTACACACAAGACTTTAGGGCCTGAGGTGTTACATTTGAGCCTCATAGCCACCAGGGAGAATATATTATTTTACTTGTTTATATTATCAAATAGAGTTGCGATTTCTTGCTGTGATGCTGAAGATTGTCCAACGTTTGACTGTGTGGCGCTCAGTTCAGCCTCCTGGTTCAAACATTGACTAAAGTTACTGGGTACGAGGAGTTCCAACTTATCAAGTTTTACTACTACATGAGCCTGATGAAAACAGTGTGGTTGGATTACGTGTGTTATACGAGTCAACGTTTAAATGGAGCTCCTTTTTGCTTTCATTGTAACTTTGATTATTTTGCATGCATGTGCCTTGTCTGATTCGATCCTGTATAATGAGACACGGGGTAATTAGATGTCAGTATATGGCAGGTCATCCATGACTCCTTCTCTTCCTCCCACAGCCCAGCATGTCTCAGGAGCCTGGTGTGGCCTTTCCTCAGAGCGCCTCCACAGGGGGGATGAAGCTGGAGGCAGTAATGGAGCAGCTCCAGCGCCAGCAGCAGGCCCGACTGGAAATGGAGCGCAAGGAGAGGAAGCTGCGAGAGGCCCATATCATGTATGCTCAGCAGGTTGCTGCCCAGCAGGCCATCCTGGCAGCTGCCCGGGCTTCTGGGGCCAGCTTCATGGGCAAAGGCCTGGCGGGAGGGGTCCCTGGTGGCGGGTTACCTCCCCGGGTGTCCAATCAAAGCAGTGTGGACTCAGAAAGAGAAGATGACGAGGACAGAGGCCGGGATTCTGGGGATGAGGATGACGACAATGAGATGATGGAGGGGGACGAGGGCAGTGATGAGGATGAGGGAAGCCCCAGTGGTCTGGAGTTCCTCCGCAAGCAGACCCTTGCATTGCAGCAGAGCGCCTCTCGCATCCCGCCTCGTCCGTTTAGCAGTTACTCTGCATCGGCCCCCCAAAGGGCTGCGTCCCCACCTATCAGAGTAAAGCAGGAGCCTGACGAGGGCCTGTCTCCTGCGGGGCCTCACTCTGCTGCCTCTCCTAACGGACAGGCCGACTGGGGCTTTGATGACCACTTCAGACAGGTTAGTGCCCTGTCCTGGCTCCGTGTCACACTGTTTCCTCCTCATTACATTCATTCCTGTTTTGGTCTTTTTCCCAAAAACTGGCTTCCTGTTGTGTATGAAACTAGGGTGACTCTATCTAGAAACTCTTAAACTTAGTGAGTGAACACAGTGCATAATCCAACCACTGTTCAGTGTGACCCAGGGGTGAGGCCTTTCTCTGTCCACCACTCTCCCGTTGAGTGTTTTGTTTGATTCCTCAGTGCATCCCCTGCTGTGAGCGACTGCTTAAGCTCGACTGTAGGACAAACCCCTACAGCTGTATCTTTGTGCGACACTTTAAATCTCTTTGGATTGTTGACCGCCAATTGGCTTTTGTGGCTAAAAATCCTCCTAAGTGAGTCCTGGCAGAGGGCCAGGCTGGGGCGCAACGTGTTCACACTCACTAGTTCTCTCCCTCTGCGCTCACAGTGTGTGTGTGTGTGTGTGTGTGTGTGTCTCTCCTTCTCTGTCCCTCTTGGCGCTTTGCTCAGACTCGGGTTTGGCTCTGATCCAGGTAGCAGAGACAGGCACTGCTGTGAGACTGTGGGTGGTTGGCCGGGTCAGCGCGAGGCTTTTGGGTGGGTGGGAAGGTTGGATGTAGTACACAGTAGCAACTCGTCATACCCCCCACCCCAAGAGCTTCGGCTGGGAGCCAAGTGCACTTTCCCTTGAAGGTAAATATTGCCTCAGCACAGTGTTACAGAACGCTGGAATGCCAACTAGGAGCCAAGCTTGGGACATAGCAAGTTAAAGAGAGCTCAGCAGCCTGTGGGTGATATAAAAAGCCCTAGTTGCACAAAAGTGGGAAGTGTCAGAGGACATATTTGAGCTTGATCAGTGGGCTGATGGTGCTGGACTCATCATAGATCATGTGTCTGGATTTTATTACGGTCTATTTAAAGGCAAATGTCTTTGAATGGTGCTTCTCTGGACCACATTTCCAAATTTAGGGAGGCAGTAGTGTAGAGGTGGGAGGAGGAGCAGTTGTAGTTGTGGTTTTGTTATTATCGTATATAAACCAGAGCCTCTGTCGTCACGGAGATCTGCAGGAGAGGATTAAAAACCTCACTCTGCTCGATATGAACATTGTATGAAACGGCGTTGCACTGCATTGTTCGGGCAGCTCATTGTTTCCAGAGGTGTCAGAAAGAGTGGAGTAGTATTATTCTCTGAGGTGGGCAGCCTTTGTGTGGACGTTGTCAGAACAGAAGATCACAGCAGCAAAGTTGTAGCTGACCAGTGTCCTATCTGTGGCCTGGTGTCTTTTATTAGGAGAGGCGGGCTGAGCTTGGGGGTTGGGGGAGGCATTATGGGATGAGAATTGGTCTGGCCTTTTTTGTTTCCTCTCTTTTATCTTTCCTGTCATTATGTCAGCTCTGCAGTATTTAATGACGGCTCATCTCTTCAGGCAGTTTCAGGTTGCACCACTGTAGGGGGAGGGGGACAGTGGAGGCAGGGGAAATGTGTTTTTTTTTTTTTTTTTTTGATGTCATTGTCTTCGAGAGGCCAGAGACAAGCCTGGCAGATGCCACAAATACCAACCCCTGTAATAATGCGGGGAGGGCATTTCTTATGTTCTAAAAGCAGTGACAGAG